AAATTTAGTGCGATCTTGTACCGTGATTTATTTATAGAAGTGAAAGGAACTCTCGGTAAATTGCAATGGATATTGAACGGTTGATGCGGGATTTGCATGTGAATGACTTGCAGAGAATATATTCGGAATTGACGTAAGTTCATGGCATTACCTCGTGGTTCTGATGCTATAATTCAGTGAATGGGTGTTTTTAATTATAAAAGATTTTAAGCGCAGTGTAGTCAGGTAGGCACGCTAGCCAAGGATGTTTACATGGTGCCTGCTGTACCTTTTCGTCCAATAACTAACCCTAAAAATTTTATTATTATTATGGAGGCAGTTATATTTTTTTTAGTATTTAGGGTGGACTTGGAAGAGAAGAAGGAGGAACTGAGGCAAATGGTCGGAAGGCGGTATAGAGATGTACTTGACGCTTCCAGTTCTGTCAGGAAGGTCACTGAAAGTGCCGATGCCTTTGCAAACAAGTTGAGAGAGATTCGAGGGGCAGTGTCTGACCGTTCTTTTACATCATTGTCATGGTTGGCACGGCAGCAGTACATTCAATTGTCGGCGCTGAATAAGTTGTACTTTTTAGTAAGTTCTGTATTGTGAAACGACAAATAGGCTTTTTTAATGGTCCGTTTTATGATAAGTCTTCCATCCTTTCTTTCTTTGGAGATTGGAACGATGGATCCGTTATCAGATGTATTCGTACTTTTATTGGTTGAAAGCATTCATCGTACGCTATCTGCAGAAGTAGTGCGATCTACTCAAGGTTCAGCGTTAGTTAAACTTTTGTCTCCGAAATTAATCCGATTACGGCTTAGTCTAGAGGACGAATTTGTTGCCAGTCTTGGAGACCTGTCAACACCAGGGGAGACAGTAAATCAACTGGTTGCTATTGGTGTATTAAAAAAATTGTCCATTCCTGATCTTCTGAAATTGTTTTTGGATAGCAAAACGGTGAGTATTTTATGCACTGTTTTCTTACGCTACGTCACTTTCAACTACTTAGGCAAATGAAATGGGCAAATGTGATGGCAACAGGTTAATTGTAAGGAGGATTAGGTTTGTGTAGTTGTTGACTGTATCTTAAACCGTGCATGTACACGGTGGTACAAACTGGTAGAAAAAATTTATATTATAAGCCAGTGCTTGGCCGGAAAGGCCTAGTCCATAAAGGATGGGTACGAATATTTGGCTTTGAAGATAGTAAGAAAATCTGGAATTTATAATAAACTTACTGGAACAAATCTATGTATTTGCCTTGTCTTTCTTTTATTTGCTGATGAGCACTTTGCTGACTAAAATGGTGCCATGACGTTTTTTTGACAGGAGCGGCATGAAAGTTTGCTTCAGAAGTGCGATTAATATTTCGTTTTCATGAGGTTTTTTACTACGTTTTAGTACACATCTGGTAAACGATAGAAGGTTATGTGAGGATGATTAGATTCTATTTGAATAAATACTTTACCTTTTGTTCCTGTAAACGGAGCGGCTACACCTTTATCTCGGGGGGTTTAATTGCCACCATAGGGCCTTCATAGTTTATTAAGTTTTTTTCAAAGCATAATTAGCTTACTTATTGTTTGATGGGGAAAAGCGGAAGATTCGCATTCCTCTTAAATCTGAATTGATAGAGTACCTTATTACACCTTTACAATCACCTCTTTTTCTAGTAACGAATATAATAGCCATAATCATTGCTAAAATTTACAATTTTTATGAGGTTTTTAAAACCTAAGCAGCTATTCCGATTTCAGTCTTCTATAAGAAAAGATCTCGCGGAATCTCGTTCGCTCATAAAAATTGTTTGGAATATTAGAAGAAGTTTTGAGTGTATTCAGCGGCTATTTATTGATGGGCAACTGGGAGCCGTTTTGCGTTTCTTTTATACTTTCCATTGGATTCCAAGTTAGTTTACAGTATGTTTCGTTTTTATTATTATTACGCTTACCGTTGATATACAGCCTTGAAAGTATTGAATAACTTTCCTCAAGAGCGTCAACTGGTTTTATAAATTTCAGAAGCTGTTGACCAGTGCATTAGCGATGAACCGTTATCTTTTTCTAATTGTTTACAAACAGAAATCTCACATTTGGCTGAAAACAAGGTGCCACATTCGCTGGATTCTCTTGATCAAGAAACCTTCAAGGAGCAGTGCTCCACATTTTTAGAAACGTTGGTTATTAAATCGCTTTAGTTATTGTACATCGTTGTTACTTTTAAGCTGTTTATGTTTCATGTTTTTTAGTTAATGCTTTAAATTTGCTGTTATTTTATATAGTAGTACTGTATTTAGGATTTGCGTGGCATCAAGAGAAATGGTGGAGCAAAAATGCAGTTTATTTGAAAGTACATCTAGCGTCTTAGATTTTTTAACTGTTCTTTTGGAAGCGTTTGAAAAGGTTTGAAAAAATTTTTTTTTTGAGTAGCAATCGTTTTTTAGCTGTTGGGAATAAGATTTTTTAGGATTGGCCTGTCATCGGCAGTGGTGATATTGTGTACCAGAAGTTTTTCCAGAATTTAATCCGCGATAGGTTTAAGGTTATTCATCCTTCTCAGTTTATTACTGCTGACATTTTTTCGGCATCTTTCGCTAATTGTTTCAACTTTTACTTTAGGTTCTTGTCTCTTCTGAATTAGACGACATTATTAAATCGTTTCTGTCTAAAGTTCCTTCTGTAAACTGTCATCCGCCGTCTCTTTTTAAGAAAAGAAGTACTCGTTTTGAACCATTATTGGCCTGTGGTGTTTCAGAACAGCTTGTTGGGTAAGTTGGTCAGGTAGTTTTTTATGAGTTATGACATTTATCAGTTTTTGTTCTTTCAGTCTCGTAGAACAGTTTGATAGCGATCTTCGATGTCTTCACGCAAAAGTGCAGAAGTATGAAGCTTTAGGAAAAGAAAGTGACTTGCAACAGTTACATGAGCAGTTGGCGGACTCAGTTGTTGAAGTCTTGTCAAAGTGCCGTCTTATTTATTTCGTTTCTTTCTTTTTTTATAAGTTTTCTCGTGCACTGGAAAATACCACAATTTATTTGTGTTTATACTGCAGCGTCGCTCAGTTTTATTTTAATTAGTAATAAGTGGATTTGTTTGAAATTTTCTAGTTTATGCGAAATTAAAGTCGAGGAAAACGTTCACAGCACTGGTTCAAAAGAAGAGCATTCTCTGATAATGACACGTGTATATTTGGCGCTCTTAAGGCCTAGAAACTCTGTAATTTCTTTGTGCCTTTCTGGTAATAACGAAAAAATTGGAAAATGTGCTAATCTCTTGCGAACGACGGCTGAAAAACATTTCTGGTCTGTCTGTGAATTCAGATGTAACTGAGTTGCATTTCTGGAACTTATTTTTTTAACAGTATTTTATCTTTTTAAGAATGCGCCTTTTAAATTGTGTCAGTTTTCACTGTTTTAGCCTACATTATAATTCTTTTCAGCGATTTCTTAGATGCACTAGTAGGAGAGTGTCTTGAATCCTCCAACATTAAAAGCATCGGTGAAATATGTTTCGATCCATTCGCATTTATTTCATATATTCAAGTGAGTTAATTGTCATTAATGGGATTGCTAATTATTACTAGAAGTTGAAGAGCTGTAGGAGAAGGAAAAGGGGGTTATGGTTTCCCTTAATTAGCACCACTGTTTATGAATCCCCTTAACTTTCTACTTTAAAAATTACTGGGCATGTTGTGTTTTGTTTTCGCGGTTTCAGGATTTCTTCTATCCGCTAAGCTTTCTAATCTAAAATTATACTTGAAAAATATCACTAGGTAACTGATTTTTTGTTATAGACACTAGTTGAGCAACCTAGTAAGTTTTGATAGGTTTTTACTTTTCTATTTGAGACAATTGGCTCAGGATTTTTGAAGAAGTAGCTAGTTGGTAATGACGTAGGATGAGTGAGGAGTAATTATTACTAATTTGAGTGATTGGAAGGACAAGAACTTGGGACACTTTCCGGCTTCGAATTGTTCTTGGAGACACAGTCTGACAAAGCCGCCATTTAGAGTCGAGTAAATTTGTCATTCAGTTTAAGAATTAAGGAAGACGTACAAGAACCTAGTAAGAAAGCTACCAAATGTCAAAGAGATTTTTTGGTTTTTTCAATTTATTAGGGGCCGCTTTGTAATAGAACAGCCAAAATCTTATTTTTTAATTAGTATTGAATTTTCGTTTGCTACCTTTTAGGAACGATTTTGAAGGTAGAAGAGCTAATGGGCTTTCAACTTTCTCATCTCATCTACATTAAATTTAGGAGGGGTGAAAGTGGAGTTAGTCATTGGTGATTCCTCTTCTTTCTCATATTATTTTACATTGCGAATTTGCAGGAATATGAAAAAGTGGAGTTACCAGAAGTTGGTGTCGTTGAAGTGCCCTTGCAAGTTACGTCCGTTTTGTATGGCTTTCTTTACAGCCTTTGCGCGAAGGTTGGTAACTAGAACTTCAGTTTTGAAAAATGTCTTTATTTTCAGAAGTTCTAGTGTTGAAGTCTCTTCACAATTTGCTTGCAAGAGTTATAAACTAAAAAAGTAACTTATTTTGACTTGTTGCTGCAGTCTCAATCACTTTTTACAGATATCCATACATTCACTGAGCCACATGTTCACCAGGCGGATTCGTATGTATCTCAACGAAAAATTGGGCATTATTCTTGGTGGTGTTTATGGCGAGGTGTTAAAGCAGAATAAACCACTAATATCACGTATAGCAGTGCAGTACCTTTTTGATGTTCGACTTTTAAATTGTTTGTTCTCTACTGATCCTGTGCGTCACCTAATTGGACAATTCGAGGCGTTAGTCGACCCTTTTGACTTGAGCCTTATAAGTAATCTTCTGGCGAGGAACGCTCGTATAGCTGCGCAACGTTACTCTGTAAATTTTTGCTGCATTAAAATGTTGGTTTGTGAAGTTTGTTAAATTAAGCGGAGTTACATTTAATATTGAGTAATGATATACAAGTTTTTAGGTTTTATTTGCCCCTCATTTTGGCGACTCATTTACTTCAAAGGAACCATCACTGAGTGCATCGTATACAGCAGTAGTTGATATTGTGCCGCGAGTGACTGACGTTCCAAGATTTACCCTTATTTCTAGGCTGTCAAAAGCATCTGTAAGTTTTATATAGCTTTTTTATCTTTATTTTACAAAATTCGGTTCTCAAAGCCTTTATAAAAAATGAAAGGAAAGCACTTGTAGAGGAATCCTGGAGAGCCCCTTCGGACTGTTGCTTCCGCTGTCAACATTAGCTCACGGAAGAAGACTGGTCGGCAAGGCGAAAGTGTAAGAACTACACCTTCTTTGTCGTCTCTTTACAATTGGTTTGGGAAATAGACACTTTGAAAAAAATTTAGAGTATGAGGAGTTACGGCACATTCCGCCACCGTAAAGTGCATAATTTTTTGTAGTTTACTGTGCCTTTTGCATTTTATGGTCATGGCCTTTCTGTCACTTCGTTTGGTTAGTATGTGATATTAACTTGTAAATAAAAGCTCTTTGTTCCTGGGAAAAACGATTGGTGTAGTCTTTAATCTCGCAGGGAAATTCGAGGGGCAACGCTTTTGTTGCGGGCTTCTGCGTGAAAGTTGTAAGCTTGATACAGTGGAGCTATCAGGTTTCTTAGAGTGCAGTATTTCGCTTTGCAACTTTTTATTAAGTGTTCCATTGATAGTAATGTAGATTGTGAACGAAATATTTTGTCTCAAGTTCACTTCAAAATTGTTTTTGGTATTGTTGGAGTGGAAAGATTGTTATTCGGGGTCTCAAACTGTGGTTTTTTGACATTCAAGTCTGTTATCTGATTTTTTTGAAAACCTGAGAATTACTGCGGGAATTAGGGCCCGCGAAGTGTGCGGGGAACCAACAGGAAGTATATTCGGAGCTCTTCCAGTCTGGTGCTCCACGTTTTTTTTCATCCAGTGAACACTAATTATAATGAAATGTATCTCTCTTTCGCTATAACCAGTAAAGACAATAAAGCTACCGAATCAAAATGAAACTGCTACCTGCTTCTTGAGAAAATAAGTTGACAGTCTGAGTAACAACAACTTCAAATTTCTCACCTTTCCAAAGTTTGCTCATTTAGGTTTGTTTAGTCCAATTATATTTTTTGAGCAGACACGGGTCTTTAATGTGTCATCGGTTTTATTTCTATGTCAAGCTGTTTTTTCTTTCCTCTTTCCGCTTCAGCTTTTTCTTCTTGGGGCAAGCGACCATAAATTTTTTGTAAGAACACGTCGAGTGAGGTAACATGAAAAAGAAAAGATAAGAGATCAAAAGAGGACAACTGTCCCAGATAGTTGAAAAAAAAGAGGGGATCAAATTTTGTGATCTTAAGTTTCTGAAATTGGTTGTATTTTAAGTTAGTTTAATACTATCATTATTATTTGTTTGTTTATGGTTTGATCCTATGTATGTTTTGATTTCTTCTTGTCTATCTAAAGTCAATTAAGACTTACATTCATTGAAATTCTCTCTTCAACAAAACTTAACTTTACTTCTTCTGTGACTTCACCATAAGATTACTTAGCTGAGGCGCCTGTTTGAAGTGTTGCGACCATGCATGAAAGCACTTAATGGATGCCCATGATCATTGCGATTTCCTCTAGGGGGGTCTTGGAAAAAACGACAGACTAGGTCATCTGGACTTGGGTTGGGCCAAAAATTGTACTTAGTTTTTGGAGGGTATTCTTTATTGAGTGTTCTTTCTAGTTAAGATTAGTGTTTTTGTGTTGCTATCTTTGAAGAGAGATCATTTTGTTGTGCAGAAAAAAGCAGTTTATCATTGCCTAACTTCTAATTAGGAGATTTATGTTTTCAGTAAATATTGGACTTATCTGCCAAATTGCTGTTGAAACCATGTTGGTGATTGCAGTAAGTAGCTAATAAGTTATAGGATTCCTTGTTGTATTTTACGTTTGGGTTAACACCGGTGACTCATCTTGTACTTGGTATTACATAATGTTATGTTAGAAAGTGGTTTTTTCATATCTGGTTCAATAAAGAATTAAGTCTTGTTACAACCGCTGCAGTGTTTCTTTTGCCCGAGTCGTTGTGCTCGTTGGCAGCTACTCTCAGAAAGAAGCTGAGGTAATTCCGATTAATAATTGCCGTTGTAGGCATACTTTAGAAGTCATTATAAGGCCAGAAGGTCTGAGATGTTTGTAGAGTAAAGGGTATTGTGGTAGTAAGTTATTAGTAAGTACCATGAAAAGTAAACGCTAACTGCGTTAACAGCAGTAGTATTAGGGAATAAAGACCTTTTAGGGCATCCTAGAGAGACAGTTACAGTAGTTGTTTTTCAAATTCAAAAATTTTGTCTATTAGCCGCGACAATGTGTGCACGACTGATGCCGATTCTATATTCCAGCAGTCATGGTTGGAGTCTCAAAATTCATTGGATTTGGAGGTTTTCCTCATGTCACTTCGTTGACGGCTAATTTAATTAGACTGGTTTTCTAATTCCTTATATAACCATAACTACCCGAACACTATTTGTTACAAAATTTGTACTTTTGGTAAGCAGAAGAAATCTAACTTGTTCGAGTACGGCATATATCTTCCTTAAAAGGAACTCTTAATAGGATTTCACATTAGACTTAAATTTATTTGATTTTTGCTACTTCAGTTTGAGAGGTTAAAAGTATCATCGGAATGAAATTTGTTATGTGCAGTAAAAACTCAATGGCACCAATAGACTTAGTAAGAAACGATCATTTATGTGACAATTAGCTTTAGGATTTCTAGGATTAAAGGGTTAATGATTGAATTATTTTATATTACGTATATGCGTTTTATTTTTTGATCACGTTCAGTTCTAAACCTTTTTGAAGTCAAAAAACCACTTATTCACTTTTTCAACCAATCGTAATCAATCAACAGAACTTAAGGATGAACGGAATTAACAAAAGTTCTAAATTTTACCCATTTTATAAAGAAAGACTTAAATCTACATTTGTTGTTCCTTAAGGTGTTTTTTGAGTCACTTTCGAAGCATTTGAATCTTGTCAATTTCAAGTATCTGTGAAAAGCTGAGACAAACAGCTGTTCTGCACCTGTCAGTACAAAAGTATTCATTCATATTTATTCCAGCAACTATGATACTTGTCTTTTAGAGAATAAACAAGGGATATTTCTAGATCTAGACACCTCTTGTATGGAATATTATTTCTTGAATCTGCTGTACAGTTTATCTTTCACCGTTAATTTTTTGCTCAGATTAGATGGTTGCAACTTGCGGAGAACAAAAAGCTTGCAGTCTTGACCATCATTAAATAAACTTTTCTTTAGATAATTATTTCAAAACTAACTTCTCTCGTTAAAGTTCAGAAGTCTTTCTTTCTTTTTTTATTTAGTAACTGTTCGACTTAAACAGACTTAATAAATCTTATTTGTACACTGTTCCAGGTTTTGAACAAAAGAAAAACAGCTTCCTTTCCTCAGTTTCAATATGGCTTCTCCCAGCAAAGTGTATCTCCTTACTTCCCGTACTTACTGTTACATACGTTTGCCTTAGTTCGTTTGTCTTGCCAAGTCTCCCGCTGCTCGTTCCTTTGAAAATGCTGGTCGAATTAAGGACTTTTTAGTACATCTTGACTAATTTTTTTAGTGATATAAATAAGACAAAATTAAACAGAATCTTTGAGTCACTGCAAAGTGTTTTTTTTTGTCTTCTGACAGTCTCTGACTAGATTTTTTTTTTGCTTTTTTTACGTCTTGCAAGAACAGAAAAGGCTGAATTTAAATAACTCAGGTTACCAACCTTCATCATCGCAGCAACCCAAAAATCCAAGAGTAAAAGCGATAAGAAAAAGAATTTTTTTCTCCTGCCCCTCTTCTCCGTTTCCAGGTTCCTGCTCTCCTCCGATTATCCCTTCATGAAGCCTCGCGTAGAAGCGTAGTTCTGAAATGCCGCTACTGAAGTGAAGAAACTTCCTTCACCAGAAACCGCAACTCTAGTAAACAAACGTGAAGCAAGCAGGGTAAGGATTTGATCACAGTAGCCAATAGCTGAGACAATAATTCTAATTGCAAACGGTCAAACAAGTTTAAATGCAACTTATGAAGATAGTGTTCACTTTTTAGAGGTCTTTAAAACCAATCACAGCCCTTCAAAATTTGACGAAATAGTTACAATGAAGATTAAAATGCAAGTTATGTATAAGCCAATAATGCTTTGAATTCCACATTGGGTTTTAAAAGATCCCCTATAGTGTTTCTTTCTTGACGGTAATCAAAGCTTAGACCTCAAGTGAGACTCGATCAAGCAACATTCCCCTTACTGGAGTAAAGCTCCCCCAATGAACTGCTGAAAGTTTAGCTTGGCACCAACTTTAGTTCCACTGCATCAATTGCCAAATCTTCCATGCCTTTTATGTGACAACATTTCTGACGCTATAATTCCATTTAAGGTATGCTATGAACTTCTCAGGCCCATGACCGAATGCGAATTTTAAATATGTCAGCACTTAGCACTTATGTGTCTCATTCTTCGTTATTGTCTTTAATGGACTCATAACAGGGATCGTTGTGCAAATGATGCATTAGTTTTATTTCACAAAGCTGAAATAAAAGTACTCAAACATCAACAATGTATGAATCGATGAATGATATGATCCACTCCAACACTTGAAGAAGCGTATAATATATTTTTTACAGATAACTTCAGGTCTTCTTCAGTACTGGTTGATCACAAATTCGAAATGCATACTTAAACAGACGAGACTGTTTTATATTTACCTGAAGTTCCACAGCTATTGATAAACACTTTTTTACAAACCAATACTTAATGGCTTATAACTTGTACAAGCCCGAATAATTTTACTTTATTTTAGGGACAACAAAAAGTGACATTCTTCTCTATTAAGTGGCAGTGAAAAACGTATCGCTCAAAAGCAAGAAGAACAAAAAATGCGAGAGTACAAAAAAATTTGTTTTACCATTACGAACGACAAAATACAGCTAAAAATTGTCACATAGTGCGTCTCACGTGTCCCAAACACTGATTAAAGAAAAGCGGAAGTACATCTGCTCCAAAATATGATTGAATTTATAAATTTCTAGAATAACCATTACTGTTTCTGACCAGGTATAATATGAGCACGCCCAACAACATCGCTCTCGACATTACGACACCAAACTACTGATGTTGGGCTACTTCTCCTTCACTAAGCTGCTATTGTCGTGAGGGGTCCTAAAGTGCTAGCCAATTACTTGGCGAAGACCCAATTACAGGTCTGATCTGAACACTTGGCCCGATATTTGGTTTGGCTTCAGTCCTTCGGGGGTTTTTGCTCACCGTCCTGATCTGTCAGCGCGCTATTAAAATCAATATTGGTGGGCTTTTTTCTTTGTAATGCGATATATATTGCTGATCACTTTAACCTTCATCGTCGGGGTTTTTTTCATGTTCCTTTAGTTACTGTTTTTTGTGTTTCCATCTTAGGTATTCGTTACATGAAAGAAAGCAGAAGGATCTAACTTAATAGTCTACGGCAGTTTCCGCTTTTATTCATTAAAAGTTTGTTCCACTTTTGGATGAGGATTTTTCAGTCTCCAAATATTATCGACTTATTTGCTTTGATTTTCGATCTGAAATCTGTGAATTAGGTTCACCCTGTAATTGTAAAAGGTTTTGGTACCGACAGACTTATTAGATTCTGATGATGTTGTATTAGTTTGGCGACGTAAATCTAAGCTTGATTTTTTCTAACAATATAGCTAAATTTAGGGTTCCTGATGGGCGAATCGCCGCTGATTCCCGCAGAAGTACTTGAGCAACTTCGACGTTTCCATGAAAACTTAACATCGACTGAAGATGCAATGGAAGCTTTTATAGCTCAGAAGCCGGAGGATCGTCTCCAGGTCTTTCATTTGCTGTACAATTTGTG